GGCAAACAAGAACAAATGGATAAAATCCACCCTTTGTCCACCGGAGCCTCTTCCATCACAAACAAGTCTTCTCAGACAGAACTGCACAAGGGGAACACACCTGCTAAAAGGATAGGCTACTTGTGAGCGGTCACATCGCTCTACTGTATTCTGTATTTATTTTGCTTTCCAGCACAGATCTGTCTCATCACAGCCTCTGCCCTGGCTCCTTATCCCTGAAAGGAGATCACAGAATCCTTTCAAAGATGCTAATCTGAGTTACACTGGTGCAAATCTAGGGTGGGTCCACTGACTTTGGTGGAGTTACTCTGGATCCACGCCAGCAGGAATGAGATCAGAATCAAACTCATCAGGCCAGATCCTTTGTGATAAATCCATGCAGTTCCATTGATTCTGGTGGAGTTACTCTAGATTTACATTGGTGTAGCTTCGATTGGAATCGGACTCATTGGAATTCTGCTGATTTACGCCCGCAGAGGATCTGGCCCAAGTATCTGTTTCCTTCAAACTGAAACAATTGAGCTGCAAAATAAGAACCTGACAATAAGCTAGGGTGACCAGATAGCAAGTGTGAAAAATCGGGACGGGGGTGGAGGGTAATAGGGACCTATTTAACAAAAAGCGCCAAATATTGGGACATCGGTTCACCCTACAATAAGTGAAGAGGAGAAATGTCTCCTTGTGTGATACATAGCGCACATTGTTTTTGAATTGAAAGTGCCTTGGACAAAATATTATGGCTTAGTGAAACATACACTCATTTGTCTGTTGCTAAAATACCAAGGATATACTGTAGCAAGAGTAAACACAACCAGGTGAGCGCTAGAAAGCATAGAGACAATGCAAACGTCTTCACTTAGAGTATGATTTAAATTACAATGTGCTTTTGATAAGCCCCTGAGTGCTAGAGCGATGGAGCGACAATTGTAATGAAGTCATTTAATTTTGATTTGGATGAAACACATACAGACTACGGAGCAGGCTAGGCATAAACCCTCAGCGCTCGCACTGGGTTAAGAAGCCAGTCATTACGTGAATTTGATTGGGAGTGCTCAGGTAATCTAGCTACTTATGTCAGATTTACACTAAAAGAGCTTCAGTCCAATATCCAAGTCACGGCACAACAGTAAATTTTCAGGTGGAATGGTATGTAACTCATCAATTTATGTCTCCTTTGTCTGGCTTCGTGGCAGTCTTATCTTGGAGCCAAGTTTCCACTCTCAGGATATCCTGTCATTGTAAGACTCGTTCGAAATAATTACTATTCTATGGATTGTCTATGGGGACAGCAGCCAATAGAAAGAGGAACTGCCCCATGTCAGACTCGGTCTCTCTCGCTTCCTTCGTGGAAGAATGCAGGAAAGACTAGATTATTTTTGCAAGGTCAGATACAGGAGCAAATGCTAACAAAAGGTAAAAGTGACTGAACTCCCTTGGCCTACTGAGATGTATGTGTTAGTCACTCTGTGAATTCATTTAATAGACTCCATGAACCTATGTTTTTATTGATCTTATCTGAATGACGGACGGTTTGCCTATGCTTTTGTACAGTACCCATCACTGTGTAATCTGGGCATCTGGGAGATGCAATATTGGATCAGACCACTGGCAGGCTATGATTCTGTCCGTGGTCAACATGTGATGCTTCAGAAGATGGAAAGAAACCCATAAATGCAGCAGGCGAGGGGAATGGCAGAATGACTAGAGAGGAAATTCCTTCCTGACTCCTGTGGTGGTCACCTTGTACCCTGAAGAATGAGATTTGATTACTCCTATCTTACGGCAGCATGCTTTGCATATACTGATGTCTCCAGACACAGAGAGTGGATTTTCGCTGCAGGACAATTAAGATCAGAATGCAGTAGGGAAGGCATACTCCTTTTCAACTGAATGGGGAACCAGACGAATACCCCTCAGAAGGCTGGAAAGCACACTTTAATCGGACCGCTTTAGAAGGAAAGCTACTCTCCCCTAATAATTTAAAGCAAACTTCTGGACAAGACAATGTTCAGGGAATCTTATTAGAGTGATTTATGTTTTTGTGCTAGGAAAGGACCCCAGCTGGTACTAAACTCTGCTCACATTTTATATCAGCAATAACCCTAAGTCACAGGAAGAAAAATCGCACACATTTCTCTGGGCCTGAATTCTTGTGCACCTTGAACTCCCGAGGGCCAATTAGCCCTGGCATTGGCCCATTGGACTAAATTCTGTTATCATTTATGCTGGTGTAACGCACTGACATAGGTGGAGGTTTCCAGATTTAGCCTGGTGTAATTGAGAGCTGAATTTGGTCTATTGACTGTAGTGGTGTTGCACATGCTTACGCCAAGGCTGAATTTGATCTCTATTGATTTCAGGGGGAGGTTGGGCAAGGAGTGAAGGACTGGACTGTATCCTTAACTCACTTTGTCATTGCAGCTCAAATGGTGTAGAAGATCCTCTTAAGTGCTCAGAAACCTACTATAACTGCATATAACACAGTGAGTTATGGACAGGGGGGCTGGAACCATTTTTATAGTGGGGGTGCTGAGAGCCATTGAACCAAACTGTAAACCCTGGATATAATGGAAGCTACTGCAAAGCAGGGGGTGCTGCAGCACCCCTAATTCCAGCACCTATGGTTATGGATGGCGTTTATACCTTAACCCTGAGTTGTGTCTTTTGAAGTCAGATCCCTAACGTTATTTGACATAGGTTTTCAGCTTTGCATTTCCTTGGGGTTTATTTCAAAAGCGGCACAGCAATACGATGCATTAATTTCACTCAGTTTTAAAATCTCCAGAGGCGTCACCCTGGCTCGCTATGTGAATCGTTATGTGATTGCCTTTTAAAAGAAGGAGCGGGGTTTCTTCAGTGCCATCAAAGTGTATTATACGCATCATTCTTCATCAACGGACCACAAGAGCTCTGAAAGATGCCCGTTCCCCTGAATATGTGATGAAATGGTTGTTTGAAAAAGTTTCAGCCCATGTGTAGATAATTTCTGAGCTTCCATTTTGTATCCTGGTCATTTCAAAATACCCACAAGGAGACCTTATTATGGAATAGCCCCTTGGCAAAAATTTTTTTCGAACACTACTGTTCAGACAAGAAGCGCCGAGTGTTTTACACAAACACTAATTAATGAAGCCTAAAATATCCATGTGAAGAAGGCAGATATGGTTATCTACATTTTACCAGTGGGTAAATAGAGAGACAGAGCTTCTTAAGTGAATTGTCCAAGGATACAAGGTTGAGTCAGTGGCAGAGCTATGAATGGAATTCAGGAGTCCTGGCACCCAGTCCCCATCTCTAATCACTGCACCATGCAACAGAAATTTTCTTTCCGTTTTGCGAGCACAGAATAGCATATTAAATTGATAAGATTCCATTTTTATTCTAATTTTTCTTTAAATGTTAAAAACTTCAGTCTGGTCCTGAGATTATTTATACCTAAATTTCAGCTTGGAACAAATTTCTTTTGCTTTAGGGTAGAGATTTTAAAATGTTGGGAAGGGGAAAGTTGACAGTTTAAAAATGAAGGGCTTGATCCTGTAAATTTTTATGCAAGCAATCTTTACTCACCAGGTCATCCCCATTGAAATCACTGTGACTACTCACAGGAGTAAGGGATTGTAGAAGCAAGTGCTGGTGAAAGGTACCAAACTGACTGGGCTGGAAACCAAAGTGCTTCAGTTATCCACAGAAGAACTAAAGCACAGACAACTGCAAGACAGCCTTCCAGCCCCTGACCTCCCCTCCCCAGCTCTGCCAACGTACCTCAGCCCTATGGACCAGCCTGTCTGGCTCATTGACCCCTTGGCTGTTCTGCTAAGATTGCCAACTATTGTGCCATGGGAAGTCTCCGAATTGAGCCCACCAATCTATTTCACCAAAACATCTTGCTGTCAGATGGCAACAACTTCTGGTCACTCGAACCTGAGTTAGGTTCGCATCAGCGAGCTGCCGCTGTAAAATTCCTTCTGTGGATACCCGCCACCTAGTCCCCTGGCTGGTGAACTCTGACTTATGGCGCCACGGTCATTCTTATTTATTTGTATTACAGTCGCGCTCAGGGGCAGGTTGGGGAGCCGTTGTACGGAGTGCATGCAGGGAACGTTCCTGAGCAGCCGGCAACCCTGGTGTGTGACTATTCTCTTTTTCATTCTGGTCTAGCGGTAAGAAAGGGAACCTGGGTTCTGTTCCTAGCACTGCCACTGAATCACTGTATGGGCTTGGTTGGGGGGTGAGGGGAAGTCATTTTGCCACTCTGTGCCTCAGTTTCCTTACCTGTGGGAGGTGGTAGGATGGTCTAGTGGATAAGATACAAGGCAGATCCAGGTTTAATCACTGATTTCCTGTATGACCTTGAGCAAGGTACTTAGTCTCTTTGTGCCTCAGTTTCCCCGACTGCAAAATGAGATGACAGCCCCACAGAACTGCAATCTGTGTGTGTGGGGGGATCCATGAATGTTACTGAGGTGCTCAGACTCTATGGTAATGGGGTCTCTAACTAGATAGACAAACATTTGGAAATAGGATAATGATACTTGTCCACCTCTGAGAAGCACTTTCAGATAGTGGTTGTGTGCAGTATATTCCCGCCCTTTACTATTTAGTACCATCTCTACATTAAACCGACTGGCATGTCCCTGTGCATTGTTAATGCCTGTTTTTTCACCCTTCCAGCATGCCCTGGGAGTGATTCTGATCCCTCCTTCAAAGGGGCAAACCAGGGGCCACGCCACTGAATGTTTGGAGTTGCTCAGGATTTACACCGCTGTGCCAGAGACAGAATCCTGCCCACGGTCTTCAGGGGTCTAAGGTTCACAATCTGGGGGTCAAAACCCTGCTGCCCTCCCCACCTTGCTCAATGGAGGAGAGAGGGGGGGAGGATCCAGGGTAGTGAGGAGGGTGGTGGTGGTCTGGGAAGGGGTGAGAACCACTGCCCCACATCTCAGTTTATTCAGCCCAATCGCCAAAGAAGCTCCCCCCCGCCCCCCCCGCATTTCACCTACCTTGACAGCTTCGGCGTGGGTCACCCTGTCCAGCGACTTGTCATTGACGCTCAGGATCTGGTCCCCGACCCGGAGCCCTTCTTTCTCTGCCAGGGAGCCCGGCTCCACCAGGGAGACGTAGATGCCCACCCCATGCTCCGCGCCCCCGCGGATGCTGAAGCCCAATCCTTCGTGGGTCTTGTTCCTCTTCAGGCTCACCTGCCGCACCGCCCCGCGCGGCTCCTCCGAGGCGGGGCCCGCCAGGGGAGCTGTCCCGTCGGCGGCGGTGCTGAAGTCCGGCCCGGCTCTCCGGGGAGGGGGCAGAGGGGCGGGCGGGGGCCAGCCAGGAGCCGCGGGCGGCGGCGGCGGCGCAGCCAGGGGGGCGCCCCCGGCGCTGCAGCCGGGCAGGAAGCCGGACTTCAGGTAGAGCCCCTCCGAGGTGTACTGGTCGAAGAGCAGCTGGTCGGAGCGGGGGATGACCAGGCGCAGCATGGGCAGCAGCTGCCGCTTGTCCGGGCTGTCCAGCAGCACCTGGAGGGTCTGCACCAGGTCGAAGACGTTGCGGCGGGCGTGGTAGACGTTCAGGCAGTGGATGAACTGCTCCCGCTCGGGCTCGCTCAGCAGCAGGGTCAGGGCACGGTGCAGCTTCCGCACGTTGGCCGAGAGCAGCCGGCTGCCCGCCCCCGCCCCGCCGCCGCCGGGCCCGGCGAGCTGGAGCCGGAGGAGGTCACGGACAGGCGGTCCAGCCCGGCGCTCATCGCCCCGCAGCCCGGGGGGACCCCGCTGCCTGGGGCCGGGGTGTGCGTCCAGGTCAGAGCATCCTCCGGCAGCCCCCTGCTCTGGGGGGGGGTCCCCTTCAGTCAGCCCAGAGCCCCCGCCGCGGGGAAGGGGCGGCTCGCCGGCTCGGCCAGGGGCTCACCCCACGGGGCAGCGGAGCCATGAGAGAAGGGGGAAGCCCCCTCCGCCGAACACACACGCCCCGGAGCAGAGACTGGGGCCGTGCACAGCCCAGAAGCTGGAAAGTCGCTGGAAACCCCCCCGGTCCCCAGTCTCCTGCAGACAGTGTCCGGGGAGAAGCGATCTCTCCCCGCGCCCCGGGCGCTGCAGCGGGGTCCCCCCGCCCGGCTTGTTCTTCGCGGGGAGCCCCCCGCCGGGCCGTCTGCAGCCCCCTCGCTCCCAATCCGCCCCCGCGGGCCAAGAGCGGTGCCCGGCCCCTCGGCTCCCTCCCTCCAGCTCTCCCGCTCTCCAGCGCCTTTCTCCCGCCGCCGAGCGGCCGGGGTCCCCGCCCGGCCCCGGAGCCAGCGCCCGGCTCCCGCCGGGCCCCGCCGCCGCTGGATCGGGCTCCGCAGAGCGACTTTGCCAAACTGTTGAGCCGGCGCCTGCCCCGGGTCCCGTCCGCTCCCCTGGTGCCGGCTCGCCAGGCCCCGCCCCCTGCCAGCAGCGCCTCCGGAAATGACGTGTCACTGACTGCTCTCCGGTTGCCAGGAGACGGGGTGATACAGTCCAGGGTGATACAGTCCAGTTCGGTGCACGGGGGCCTCTCACTGTGGCAGGCGCATTGTGGGCTTGGATACAGGAGAACTGCGGCGCCTTTTCCTTCCTTCTTTCTTGTAAAAGCAGAGACAACCTCTGCAATCCCCCATTGCCATTATAACCGCAGGGGACAAGCAATTTAAATTAATGGAGATATCCCATCTCCTAGAACTGGAAGGGACCTTGACAGGTCATCGAGTCCAGCCCCCTGCCTTCACTAGCAGGACCAAGTACTGATTTTGCCCCAGATCCCTAAGTGGCCCCCTCAAGGATTGAACTCACAACCCTGGGTTTAGCAGGCCCATGCTCAAACCACAGTAATTTGGTATGCATGGAGAGACTCATAGATCAAGGCAGCGAATTGTTTATTAAGCAAAGAGGACGTGAGAGAAGAGCAGTTGAGAGGAACTACAATGAATGGACTTGCAAATTTCACAGCCGGGGATGTGCTGTTCTGGAAGGGGATGTGAAGTGTCTCTGAGTTTGAACGTTGTGAGTCTGATTCTGCTCTTATCCTGTACACGAGGGTAAATCAGGAGTGACTCCGTTGAAGTCAAAGGAGATACACCAGTGCAAAACTGGTGCAACTGAGAGAAAGGTCAGACCTTCTCTTTGTTGCCAGTTGTTTAGACATACTGAAATTCTCTTTGCTACCTTTTTTTAAAAATGTACAAACAAGTTGTCTGAGGTGCCACTGTCAAATGTGGGAATGAATTGTCTACCCAGGAGCTAATTTCCGTGGCGTGCGGTTAATGTTCAAACGTCCTTAGCTTGGTTTTCCCATTATACTCAAAATAAAACTTCATATTTACCCAGCACTTTCCATCTTCAATGTGCTTTAGGAACATCAGGCAATTAATTCTCAGCACACATCTTTGCTAGGTAGCTCCAATTCCCTGCTATGCTGGTGAGATTTCAGAAGTGGCTGGTGACTCTGAGGGATGCAGTGTTGGGGTTCACACTGAGGCACCTGAGCGAGGCCTGATTTGTAGAGTATGAGTGCTGACCACTTTCTAACATCAGGCCCATTTATAGTCAGGCACCAGAAAATTAGGCAACCAAAATCACGAGTCCCTTTTGTAAATCTTGGCTATAATAAGTGCCTACAGAGACAGATGGATAATGATCACTCTTGTTTAATAACATTGAAAGCAGAGAGGTGAAGTGGTTTGCCCAAGCCCACAGAGGGTGTTTGTGGAAGAGATGGACTTAGATGTTTAGGCCATTAAACCATGCCGCTCTCCTCTCCAATTATAGTTGTCATGACTGGGTTTAATAGTTCGTCTCCATATGTGATTAACCTCTAATCTTTTTACTAATAAGGATAGTAATTGTGTTATGGGGTTCAGGGACCTCAACTGAGATTAGATCCCCTTTGTGTTAGGTGCTGTACAGACACAGAGCAAGAGACCATATCTGCTCCAAAGATCTTACAAACACAGGTCCCAACCCTGCATTGTCAGCTATATGGGTCTGCCCCCATGCAGAGCCCCATAGAGGTTAATTGGGCTCCATGCAAGTGCAGGGCTCTGTCTGCATGCAGCCCATTGCAGAGAATGGAGCCTAAATAAGGGGTTTAGTATGTTTGTTTTGTTTTGGGTAATAACAGTGCTGTACAATCTGAGACCTGATCCTGCCTTCCTTGTCCAGCCATTGATTTCAGTGAGAAAAAGAGAGTGCCAGGAATGGTGGATCAGACCCATTGTAACTAATGAGTCATTGCCTAGGGAAGGATCAGGGTGTGAAAATGGTGAAACGGGATTGTTTCCATCCCTTTAACATGCAAAATGCGTATGTGTGTGTGTGTGTGAGATCACAAGTCCTCACCGTACAGTGGCAACAGGCTGGAAGGGGAATAGGCTGATATTTCACTGGTAGTTTCCCCCCATCCATCTTGCATAAGTACCTTCAGATCTGCTCGCAAACTGTGCAGTTTACTCTGGTGTTTTGTGCAGCTGGGACCCAGAATTCTGTTTCCTCCCTGATAGTGAATTAATTGTTTAGAAATGACATGATGGGAAAGGAAGATCTCAGTGTATCTAAAAGCTGCTCTGGGCCAGCCTATAGGTCAGAGAATAAGAGTCAGTTTACACACTGTTCTGAGGAGAATACCTTGGTTTGGATGTCCACTGCCCCTTCAGAGTGAACTGGTTATTTGACCCTTGAGAGTATTTTTTCCATTGCTGATGTGCCAATCCAAGTTGTTAATAATAATAGTAATTAATAATAGCTAATATGTTTAATAATTATTAATTCTGGTTAATAATAATAATAGTAATAAGTCATCTACACTAAAGCTGTGACTCATCAAAGCATTTAAGAACCTGCTTAAATTTAATCATATTTACATCCCATTGATGTCAACAGGACTTAAGTACATGCTTACTTTTCTGAATAGGGACTGGCTGATGTCCGTGCTTACATAAGCCAGTCCCTATTCCCTGAATGACTGTGGACCTAAGGGCCTCATCCAAACCCATCAAAGTCAAATGGAGTCTTTCCATCAACTTCCTTGGTCTTTGGATCATATAATACAGCTCCGTTCATTTAGGAGACTCAAAGCACTCCATAAACACTGGCTAAATCGCCTCACAAAATCCCCATCTGGTACATTCTGGCTATGTAGGGTCCATTTACACTTACCATTAAATGCAGTCACTCCTTAGTGGAATCCTAAAGGCAGCTCCTAAACATCACCTGACACAGCAATCTAGGACAGGAAGTGAAGAAGGATACTACATCCTGTTATGACAGAAAGAAGAAATGTAAGGGAGAGCATTAATCTAGGGAGACAGCTATGGCAGAAGGGGTAACACCCCCATTTCTAAAGAGAAATGTTATGGTAGCTTAAATGACCACAAACGATCAGGGCTTTAATGAAGCAACATGGTCTAGTGGGTAAGGCAGTAGTTTGGGGCTCAGAGGAGCTGGTTTCTGGTCTACACTTTGCCACCAACCTGCTGTGTGACCTTGGACAAGTTGCTGAACCTCTCTTTCTGCTCCTACACAGTGTCTGTCTTCTCTGTTTGGATTGTCAGCTCTTCTGGGCAGGGGCTCTCACTCACCGTGTGTGCACAGTGTCTGGCACATTGGGGCCTTGGTCTTAGGTGAGGCCTCTGTATGTTACCGTAACGTAAACAAAACAATAATAAACTGAGAGATGGACCTTCTGGCAGCACAGGGTCCCCTGGCATGACATCGGGGGATTGGATCCCTTCCCCTATCTATACTCTGGAGGTCTCCCATCCAAAATGGAGCCAGCCCATTGCTTGAGGTGGAATGACTGCAGGCCACAAGCGTTCTTCTTTCCAAGGTAAGATCACACCTTCAAATTAATTTCACTTGTGACCTTTGCTAAGCTTAGAACATGAAGCTTCGGGAGAAAAATCAGTTGAAAAATGCATTGCGACTACGGGGTCTCATTGGTTGATTAATTTTTTTATTATGTACATTTTCATTTAATCTTTCCTTTTCCTCTGTCTTTGGCACATGAGCGAAAACCATTTTCTATTCCAGAGTCATTAAAGTCTCTCTTTCTCTCTATCCTTTGCTGAAGTGCCTTCTATCCAAAGCAATAGAGGAGGATTAAACTTAATCTATCAGATGCATCTCGATGGCAATAGAATTCATTTTATTCATGGATATAATGAAAGGGCTTTAACAGCTGCATTACAAGTAGTTTTATGTATCAAAGCTTTGTTGGCTCATTCAGGGCTTTGTTTAAAACAAAACAAAAACTGGCAGATTCCTAATTTGGGTTCTAACTCTGATAAATAAGCAGACGGAACAGCCAATGTAATTGGGAAAAAAGGACAATACAGTATATGGCAGAAAAGTGAGCAAAACTAAACAACACAACAGCAGCAACAGAAATTAAAAAAAACAAGGGAAGGGCAAAAAAGGTAAAGAGTTAACAGTAGAATAGAATCCCTTCAAAGTAGTTGTTACTGACCACACATTAATGCCTAAAAACCGCCATGGAGAATCTGTCTATCTAGCGTATTTGTATGCCCTGTGAAAGACTCAGACCAGTGGGGTACAGGAGTCTGGTAGAGGGCAAATATACTGGTCACTGGATGAGTAGTTTTCTGTTCCCTGAGTGACCAGGGCAGGGGCTGCACTAGAGTAATCAGGAACCTGCTAGAACCAGTTAAGGCAGACAGGCTAATTAGGACACCTGGAGCCAATGAAGAAGAAGCTGCTAGAATCAATTAAGGCAGGCTAATCAGGGCACCTGGGTGTTAAAAGGAGCTCACTTCAGTTTGTGGTCTGAGTGTGAGGAGTTGGGAGCAAGAGGTGCAAGGAACTGAGAGTGAGAAGGTGTGCTGCTGGAGGACTGAGGAGCACAAGTGTTATCAGACACCAGGAGGAAGGTCCTGTGGTGAGAATAAGGAAGGTGTTTGGAAGAGGCCATGGGGAAGTAGCCCAGGGAGTTGTAGCTGTCATGCAGCTGTTACAGGAGGCACTATAGACAGCTGCAGTCCACAGGGCCCTGGGCTGGAACCCGGAGTAGAGGGCGGGCCTGGGTTCCCTCCAAACCTCCCAATTGACCTAGACTGTGGGTTTTTCCAGAGGGGAAGGTCTCTGGGTTGTTCCCCAACCCACATGGTGAATCTCAAGAAAATCCACCAATAAGCGCAGGACCCACCAAGATAGAGGAGGAACTTTGTCACAGCCCCCATCATTGTTGTACCTGGGCACCAGGGGAGGCAGGTGAACCTGCCCTTTGGGAAGGCTAGCCCTTGGCCCCTTCTGCCCAAGGCCCTGCCCCTACCTGGCCCCTTTTGCCCCCACTCTTCTGCTGGAGCCCTGGGACCTCCCCACTGTGGCTGGAGGAGCCCCAGCTGAACTGCCCCAATCTCTGGGCCACCAGCCGGTCTGAGTTGGCCTG